TTTTTTTTTTTTTATTAAAGATCTAGTTATATAGAAATTCAAATAAATGATCCTCTTTCGCTCATGACTTCATAATTCCTTCTCCCCCTCTCCTTTATGATCAACTAATTTACAAATTAAGACAATAAGAAGTTGTATGAACGAAAATGGGATAATCCAGCGGATGAGTGAATGCAAAGGAGGTTTCATGTTGGATTTAAGATTGGGAACGCTTCCCTGTTATCGACTGTTTCCATGGTAATAGATGAAAATTTCTTTACCCACAGAGCCGGCCTCTCGATTAGTTCATGTGCGCCACCGCTATGAAATTCTGTTTGAACAGTTCCCATAAGCCTGAGCAATTTCCCCTATTATCTCTGTCACCTGCCCCTGGACTGGAAAACTGAGCCTCAACTTTAGCCCATACTCTTTGGGCAATATTAACATTTATTAATTCAAGTTGGAACTTATTATTAATAATAATAAAAAACAAATAACAGTTTTCTCCATCAAAGGTGAGACTGATTAAGTTCTTCCCAGGTGTTTCGGATTAATAAATAGTAAATTTTCAGGTGATGGGTGTATTGAAAAATGATTTAAAGACACTTGTCATACGGAATTAATCATTGATCATTTAGTCCAATGTTTCTCTTGTCACAATGAATCGAACATCTTGTTTGCTGCTTCAGAGGTTTGTAACATTACCTCGTGGTTCGATCTTTCGAAAATTTGAGGGGCCATCAAGGAGATATTTCTCCAGCAAAGAGAAGAATGCGGGAGAGGAAATTTGTAACATCGGAACGATTGGTCATGTAGATCATGGCAAAACAACATTAACAGCGGCAATAACGAAAGTATTATCTGAAGAATTAAAAACTTGCAAATATGTACCATTTGATGAGATTGATAGAGCCCCCGAGGAGAAAGCAAGGGGCATTACGATAAATATTGCACACGTTGGTTATTCAACAAAATTGAGAAGATATGCTCATACAGATTGCCCTGGTCATGCTGATTTTATCAAAAATATGATTAGCGGAGCATCACAAATGGATGGAGCAATTTTGGTCGTGGCTTCTGATGATGGGACTATGCCACAGACTCGAGAACATCTTTATTTAGCTAAACAATTGGGTGTTAATCACATTGTTGTCTTTATTAATAAGGTAAACTATTTTTCTTCCAATAAAGTATCAAGATCAAGAAAAGAATAGTTCTGTGTTGACCAATTTTTTAAATAAATATAAAATTATAAGTAACTTCATATTATTCTGTCGATTTGAACAATGAACACTGACAAAACAGCTTTCAGGCGGACCTGGTGGATGAAGAATTATTAGACCTGGTGGAAATTGAAGTCAGAGAGCTCTTAACCAATACTGGTTTCGATGGATGTGCCACCCCAGTTGTTAGGGGCTCAGCATTATCGGCCCTCAACAGCGAAAAATCTCATTACGGTGTCGATTCAATTAAGAGATTGATGGATGCTGTTGACAATTATGTGCCTACACCAGTCAGAGATTACAAATCACCATTTCTGTTACCAATTGACAATATCTTCAATGTACCCGGGAGAGGAACTGTTGTTGTTGGAACTCTCAAAAGGGGAATAATAAAGAAAAACGATAGTGCCGATTTACTCGGTTTCAATAATGATGCAAAAACAAGTATTTCAGATATTCAGGTATACACCGAAATTTTAACATTTTTTTGTGTTATATTTTCAATGAGTTTGAATGGCGCAGTTTATTGATATTCTCCCAAGGAACAGAAACTACAGAACTTAGTCCTAAATTATTCTGAGATTATGTGTTTTTGCCTCAAAACAGGCTGCAATCACTGAAAGTTATGATTGTCATTGCGCTTTTCAGGCTAATTATAACCATTCATTGATTAATTTCTACGGTCGATAAAAACATTTACATTTACCGAAATTGAGTCATATAAATATATTACTTGCATAGATTTTTAAGAAGAGCGTACCTCAAGCTATGGCAGGAGAAAACATAGGAGTTTTATTGAGAGGTATTAAGTATCAAAATATATGCCGCGGAATGATGCTCTGCCAGAAAAATTCTCTCGTCTCCAGTAATCATTTTGAAGCACAGCTATATCTCTTAGATACATCTGAGGGTGGAAGACATCGGCCGCTTCCGGTAAGTATTAATACTGCAATATCGTATATTTTCTGGTGTTATTGTTATTTTCTCATTCTAGGCCAACGGACACTGTACACCTATTTATAGTGCAACGTGGACAGTGCAATGCAGATTTGATTTGAAATTAGATGGTAATACTAAGATGTTGATGCCAGGCGAACAATGTGCAACCAATTTGACTCTTGTGAAACGAATGCCGATTATAGAGGGACAGTCTTTCACCATTCGTGAAAACAGGAGTACAGTGGCTACTGGAATTATAACAAAAGCACTGAAATCAATTCAGATTGACAAAAGAAAATTAAATCTTATTGTTGTACCTGGTATAAAACAGATGAAAGAATAAAAGTTGAAGATATAATCTTTTTTTCCTGTTGTCTCCAAGATCTTCAATTTTATTTTCATTTTATTGATGCGGCTTTCGAATTATTTGATTGTATATACAATGACTGAAATACAATAAAATAACATTTTAACAAAATGAGGTGATACACCTTTATTAAAGATAAACGCGTGTTATATCCACATTATGTTTATCGTCATGACTATCGAGTTTTTCTTCATTTAAATTTCACTTATTACTCAAATCACGTTTTGCTTATGTTTATCTGAAAATGTCGGGAAACTGCTGAGAATGTTTTCTTGACTAACAAACGCATATAATTGATGATTCCTGTCAACATGGATACTGAAGTCGACCTATGGCGGGCTCAGCATTGCATCTTTCCTTGTCTTTTCTTCCGTATAACAGCTATCTATTAGACACAATTTTGAGTAGAACATAGTAGATTTACGCGTTGAACGAAGCAAGAAAATCAGTGACAATTTTCTTGAGCTTAGCATCAGATGCTTCGCTGATGACATTTTCCTTGGCAATGGTAGCGGTGAGATCCTTGTGGGATGCCCTGAAATGAAATCAACAAATATTGCCAATGTTACGATAATTATTGACTCACTATTCTCCATACAGTTATACTTCAAATCACCTGATGTGTGCGAGGAATTCCTTTTCAAAGGCAGTGATCTTTGTTGGGTCCATTTTGTCCAGATACCCACGTACACCGCAGTAAATAACTGCTACTTGTTCTTCAATAGCCATAGGCACTGCAAGAAAAACAGAAATAAATCAGTAATCAAAAATAATTTGGTTGATATGAATCTTGATAAGTTACTAATGGTATTGAATTTCGCACGAAAGCCTCTTGAAAAATCATGGATAAAAAAATTATTGCTGAGTTTTTATTGCGGTACACAAATAGTTTCAATTTTGAAAGAGAACAAAAATAGTTGAAGAGATTCATTTCCGAAAACATGGTATTTGTTTTTCAATTCCAAAACAGTTTAGAAAAATACTTTTCCCTGTCCAAAATAGATTGAATATTACCGTATTGCCCCTGTTTGAGCAGTTCAGTAAGTCGGACACCACGGCTGAGAAGCTGCTGGGTAGCAGCGTCCAAGTCAGAACCGAACTGTGCAAAAGCAGCGACCTCACGGTACTGGGCAAGCTCAAGTTTCATGGAACCAGCAACTTGCTTCATGGCTTTAGTTTGAGCCGCTGAACCGACACGTGATACCGAAAGACCGACGTTGATAGCTGGCCGAATACCCTTGTAGAAAAGCTCAGTCTCCAAGAAAATTTGTCCGTCAGTAATGGAGATGACATTGGTGGGAATGTATGCTGATACGTCACCGGCCTGAGTCTCAATGATCGGCAGAGCAGTAAGTGATCCGCCACCAAGTGACTGATTCATTTTGGCAGCACGTTCGAGAAGACGTGAGTGAAGGTAGAAAACATCACCAGGGTAGGCCTCACGACCTGGTGGTCGTCGCAATAGCAGGGACATTTGACGGTAGGCAACAGCTTGTTTGGATAAATCGTCGTAGATAATAAGTGCGTGCTTGCCATTATCTCTGAAGAATTCACCCATGGCACACCCGGAGTATGGTGCCAAATACTGTAGGGGTGCAGCATCAGATGCAGTAGCGGAAACAATGATTGTGTAGTTAATAGCACCGCTGTCTGTCAATCGCTTCACAATTTGAGCGACAGTAGATCTCTTTTGTCCAATGGCAACATAGATACAATAGAGCTTCTTTTTCTCCTCACCAGCATCGTTGAAACGCTTCTGATTGATGATGGTGTCGATGGCCAGAGCGGTTTTTCCAGTCTGCCTGTCGCCAATGATCAACTCACGTTGACCTCGACCAATTGGTACCAACGAGTCCACAGCTTTGATACCGGTCTGCATGGGCTCTCTGACCGATTCTCTGAAAATCGAGAAAATCCATTAAACTCAATCCAGACTTTTCATTGTTAATTGATATGTGCTACGAATTTTAAGAGTTTATTGACTAGTGTTGAAATTTTATCTAAAAGAGAAAACGGATGAGATCTGATTGGAATTGTCCTGCAAGTTTTACTGACAGGCGGAGCGCGCTCTTCCATACCGTGGGATAATACCAGGTGCTTTGGTACCAATACGGAACCTCTGCTTTGCACCCAATGGCCCTTTTCCATCAATTGGATTTCCAAGAGCGTCAACAACACGCCCAAGAAGTTCATCACCAACTGGCACATCAACGATAGCACCGGTACGCTTGACAATGTCACCCTCCATGATGTGTCTGTCATTACCAAATACGACAATACCAACGTTGTCAGGCTCCAAATTCAAGGCCATACCCTTAAGACCCGAGCTGAACTCCACCATCTCGTCGGCTTGAATATTCTTGAGGCCATAAACACGAGCAATACCGTCACCAATACTCAAGACACGACCAGTTTCTTCGAGGTTAGCCTGATAAGAAAAAGTGAAGAAAAGTAAGAACAAGCAATTTCAATGAATGTCTATCAATAAATATTTTAATACCTTTGGGGCGGATCCTAGGATACGTTCCTCCAGGATGGCAGAAATTTCCGCTGATCTTCTGCTACAACTGACATGATACTTGCGAGCAGCGAGTGCGCTTGCAGGCCAATGTACCTATAAGAAACATTTCAATCATCGAATCTTGATAGAATTTATGCTATGTATTACATAACTCGTCTCGGATTCTGTTTATGTAATAAAACTTCAAGCGACATCGATGGAAATACTTGTGAAAGCATGAAACAAACAAATTATTTTCATGAATTTAGCATTGGAATGACGTGTGTCGCCAGGATAACATGTCCAGAAATGTTAAATGAGTAAGAAGAGACCGGTCACTCCGAGAAAAAATGTCGGCACCCACAGTACTGTCGAGGAGCAATACTGCGGAAATGTCGTATGAGAATAAATCAATGTGTTTAGGTTGTTACCTGAACTGTGGCATTTGGTAATAATTTTGCTACAGATGCAGCCAGACGTAGCGATAGTTGAGCCATGGTGCTGTGGTGAATTTACTCGCTCGTATCCCACGTACTGCGGATTTTACGTAAAAGACGAGGAAATAAATCGATGTAATATCACACGCAGTGGCCGACGAACGAGAGAACGACCCTTTTCGTCCCCACTCTTCTGAAAAAAATCCTCTCTTGCGCAATCAATCTATTTTATTCTGCACAGGAAGTAGAGGTCACTTCAACATTTGAATTGTTGTAGGGTGTGTAATTTAAAGGTAGTATTCGAAAACCAGCAAGGTAGACCCCTAAAAAAATCAATTTAATATAGCTCCGGAATTGATGGAAAATGGTGGTGCAAGGTTTTTAATTATTTGATATACTTTCATTAAACAAAATAAATTTTTCTTCGACTACCCCATGATGTCAAGGGGGTTTTTAAAGTTTTTCAAAAAATAAATGATTCCTCTTCTGCCGAATTCAATGGTAATCAATGGTAAAATATAACCGAGTCTCGGTAATAGACCCAATTATTTATAAAAAAACATTATTCAAGTGGCGGGGAACACATGTTTCGATATTTCGGATCTGTCCAATCAGAGACTTGAGATGGAAGCCAGCGACAGTAATCATGGAAACGGAAATGAGCCCTGCGGGTCGCTGGCAGCGACCTTGGAGAATACAGAGAAGTCAGGCATGAAGAATAGAGACCAGGAGGCCGAACTGTAATCCGATTCCTCAGAATACGCGAGCAAACAAGCAGTATACTATTAGCCGACAAGAAAATATTTTCAAACAAATGACCCTATCGAATCGTTTGTAATTCGTTAGCAGGTCATTGTACACCCCTTTTTAACGTTTAAGAGTCAATGAGTCTTTTTTAATTAATTAATCAAGATAGTCCATGAATCTAGCCGACAAATTTTTATTTTTCAATTTTTTTTTTTT